GCTGGAGATGGTGGTGGAGCCCCACCGGGCGACCAGAATAACGGTCTCCAGCCACCTCCTCCCTTTGTCAGAGATCTCGGAGATGTCGAAGAAGTCGGAGGTCTCGGAGAAATCGGAGGAGTCTCCGTCGCCGTCGCCGCCGTCGCCGCCGTCGTCCCGGCGGCGGTACTACTGGCTGCTGGTGCGGGCGGACAGCTCTGGGGCGGCGCTGGACGACGTGACCCCCCTGGTTGACGCCAGGGGGGACGACCGTTTCGTAACGGTTACGCTGACGGACGCCGGCGAAAAGTACGCGCTGCTGGTGCAGCAGGTCGAGGGGGACGGGGGGACGGTGGTCGCCGAGCAGCGAGTCACGATCGCGTGCAAGTACGTTCGCCGGGAGCTGAGGGGCCTGACGATGGCGGATCGAACCGGGTTCTTCGCGGCGATGCGGGAGTTGTACACGGTCTCGCTGGAGGAGGGGAGGGCGTTGTACGGGGATGGGTTCTACGACGCCAAGCATATGGCCGCGTACCACAACACGAGGGTGAGAGGGGGGGGGCTTTCGGGATGCACATGTTTAGTGTGTTTTGTCCTCTACGTGGTTGGTAGAGAAGAAGTGATGGAGAAGTTTTTTCTCGTACGGACGACGACGACAACGACAACAACTATGGCGCATTCCACCCTGTCTCTTGCAGTTTTCATTTTGTCTCTTGATGATCTCAGTCTGCCGTCCGTGTCTGGTGCGTCTCAACTACGACAATGCTGCATCCACGACGAGATACACTTCTGGATGCACTCATGAAGCATGGCCATTTCTGCGCGCAAGACGTAAGCCTGTTTTCCTGTCTCTTGTCCGTCTCTCTCTGGTTGGTGTGTCTCACCCAGGACTACTGCTTCCACAACGGGATGCACTTCCTGAACGCTCACGCCGCCTTCGACCTTTGGATCGAGAGCAACCTCCAGAAGATCAACCCAAAGGTGTCGCTCCCCCAGTGGGACTACATGCTGGACGCCGCACACCTCGGGACCGGGTGAGTTGGTCTTAACGGATTCCACACAAGATAGCACACCCAATCAAGACAAACACACCCGCGTTAGACACCACCCAAACGCGTCGCTCGCCCAGTTGGATTGCATTGGACGCCGCCCGACTCGGGACCGGTTGAGTTGGTCTTACCGCATTCCACACAAGATAAACACACACAAATGTTGAGACACCACATGTACACGAGGACATAACACAGCCGGCGAAATATTGTTGCGGGTCCAGCGGACGCTGAAACATGGAAAGAAACGCTAAAGCTCACCGATCGCAGGTAGACGCACCTCCTGCGCCGAAACGGCTCTCGAAGGAATCGAGGGCTACCGTATACATGACACAAGATAACACACCCCCTTGGCCGATTTTCAAAGCTCGATTTCTCAACAGCAGGAAGAGTTCACAGCGCGGAAAACGGCGGCGTTGGAACCGTCTCGTCGAGAATTTTTCGAAAATGTATCGTTTCGTTTGTGCATCCTCTTCGTCGTGGAGTAATCGAGCTTTGAAAATCGGTCCAGGGGGTGTGTTATCTTGTGTCATATGCGGTACTCGAGATTGACGAACAAAAATGGCAGAACCTAAACACTCGTGACCGTACACACACGTGCCACGAATTGTGCAGGTGGGGGGACAGCGAAATCTTCGGCCCGGATATGTTCGGATCGGCGTTGGGATCTCCGGAGAACCAGTTCCAGATCTCCGACGGCTGGTTCTCCAACATCTCGTCCGTGTACGACCCGGCCGGTGACCTGCTGAGCGCAGACGCGGACATCAGCACGAATCATAACCCTTACGGCTTCGTCGGCAGCACGTACAACTACCAGGTGCCGTCCAGAAATTGCCAAACGATGTGTTTTTGTTCTTTGGGTCTTACAGCTCTCGCTTGTACCAGTATGTCCTCTCCTACCAAAACCAAGTACTAACAAGTACAGAGGAGTGCAAATATATATTGTTCTTGTTGTGAAAAGAGGGAATCGTCCTACACAGACGATGGGGAAATTAAGATGGTCTCCACATTGTGAGCGAATTATTAGCGGATATCGCAATTCAGAGTCCTGATTACATGCACCTGTCGAGTGCGACTGTGTACGTTTTTTTTTTTTTTTTTTTTTCTTCACTTCAAATCAGCGCTCACAGCACTAGTGCCGTTTATTCCGACCCGTGGTCACACAGAAGAGTCCCTCTCTTCTACCCTCCCCTCCTGCGGTACTTTGCCTACGATTTCTAATGCGAGAAGAGTTCAGCACTCTCTTCCCTCTACGTTTGGACGCATCCGATCGTTAGATGGGATGTGCTCTCAAGAGTCGTGGCGACAACTCTATGGGTGAATTTGGTCGAGGGGACTGAAAGCTTCAGTCAACGCCGTTAAGATGATACTGCTGTAACTGATTTTCTGTGCATATCAAAGACGATAACTACGAAGTTATCTATTAAGCTTCTTGCAGTGAAGGGGTGAAGGTAGGGAGGCACCCACGTCCGTCTTTTTTGCCGACTACGTACGACCACCATTTGCCGAAAAGTCGTAGCATCCGCTCTAAAAGCTCCAAAGTGACCTACCGGTATTAGAATACTTGATTTTTTTTATGTAGACACACCCTCGACCGAACCCGTCGTCTGATTGGACAAACTTTCTCGTTGCCCGACCGCCTGCGGTTTTCCCAGGCGCTCCCAGGCGTTTTGCGCACGAGCTCGTACTGCGGGATGCAGGGCGTTTCCGAGTTCAGCAAGTGCGAAGTCTTCGTGGGCTGTTTCGAGGACAACGACAGCTTGTACGACTGGGCCGTCTGCATGGAGCATTCGGTAAGTGTTGTGAATTTTCCTCTCCACGACTAACTCTGGGAAAGTTCTCCGTACATTAGGAATGAAGTAAAATATGAACACCCCCTTTTCAACAACAGCAGCTTGTACGATTGGGCCGTCGGCATTGCATGGAGCATTCGGTGAGCGGATGTCGTGAGTTGTCCTCGCCAAAACCGGGAAAGCCCTCCGTACATTCGAACGAAATAGTAAATAGTATCAACACCTCCTTCAATTTTGTTTCTGCCTTTTGAGTATTTTCCGCGGCTCCGAAACGTCCACTTGCTAGGCTCGGTTGTAGCTCAGGGCTCTAATTGCTCGATGAAGAGTTGTGACCTTTCTATCTATTTTGCGCTCTGATTTGGGTACTCGACTAACGCAGCGGTGTCCCAATCCGTGCGGTTGTTGCTGTCGTCGGCAGGTGCACGCCTCGATGCATGGCATGATCGGTGGCGGCTTCGACTGCAACGTGAGTGTTGATGCGGCAGTTTCATGTGCAGACGGCCAGTTGTGAATGTCGATAGCGTAGATCTACCAGACTGCGACGAAGGGGGTGCTTATGCAGGTGCATGCAGCAGTAGACTGTTAGATAGCGCGGTAGTTGATATCACCATAAATCATGCGCGGATGTAACCGGGGTAGATCCGCGTTTTCACCTCGGGGTCCGTTGGTTCTGTGGTTGGTTGGAGCAACATTCCCTTATTCCCCCACCCCCTAAAGTAGAGGGACGATTAGCCATCGGTGATCGGTCCTGTGGAAACAATGCTCCGTCCTCTCGACGACGCGTGGTCAATGGTCTAACCGCTAAGGCATGCACCCCCCCCCCCCCCCCCCTGGGGCGACAACAGGGCAACATGGGCCAATTTTCGGAGGAAAACCCCCAATTTAACCCCAAACTGTTGAAGTTCCCTCTGCCATTCCCGTTGGGCCAAAAATGGGCCTCCAAAAGCTTGGTGGAGGAATTCCACTACTGGGACCAAGATTGGGAAGTCCGGCAAAACCACCCCTGGGGGGGCCCCTGCCTCCCCCACCCCTTTCAGGGGACCCACCAAGCGGGGGGGTCCTTTTCTGCTGGGGGGGCTGAATTTGTCCCTCGGCGCGTAATAACCTACGGGTGCGCGTCAATTCACGGGGTGGGAACTATTTTTAAAAAAACGTAATTTTTCCCCAAACCGGAGGGTACCCCTGGGTGTCAAAAAAGGGGGGTGTGGAAACATCTCATCCAAAGCTTTCCTGAAAAATACCAATTGACGCTCCCCACCCCTCTGGGTGGGGAAAAAATTCCCTT